ATAGCTCCGTTAGCATTTCCAGCAGCATAGCTCCGTTAGCATCTCAAAGAGCGTCCAGTTCTGCCTATATCAGCATGGCATTTATTTTTAGCTCGTTAAGGTAACGATTACCTGTTAGCTTCGTTGGTTCTGCTGGTATAAATGGGTCAATGTGTTTGGTGAAGTGTCCAGGGTCCAGATCAGGTGATTCGTTGGGTTCGCTCTAACTCTGCACTGCGCTCTCCTTTCTTTCATGTAGGAAATTATCCAGATTCGCCTCAATTTTTATTTTTTTAAATTACAGCCGATATTGACACAGTGTGGCATTATCTAAAATGACACCAGTCAAACGCAATATGATCAACAACTACTGGGGCAAAGTTAGCCTTCCTGTGTTTACTCTGTAGACTCCAGTACAGAATGGACCTGATGACGTCATCAACCCAACAGTGGAAAAAATGGCGCCCTCCATGGGTGAAAAATATAACAAAAGATGTACATTTTTGAAATAATTATGAGTTTTGGCTTATCCAAAACAGCAACATCTTATCAAGATAGGAAAATTGCAGCATATTTAGGTCAACATGTTCAACTAGTCCTGGATCCTTTAAGATGTTTTCATTTTATTTTGACTCTAAAAATTCAGGTCATCATGAAAATCATCAGTTTTTCTCTCAAGCTTCAGTTTCCTTCTCTCAGCCGGAAACGACTCGGCGTGTTTCCCAACAAAGAGGGAATCCTTGCTCCCTCCATCCATCCCTCCATCCTTCCCTCCGTTCTGCTGCTGCGTTACGTAACGACGTGTAGCTGCAGCGCCGGCTGCTGCTCCTTAATGGATCCACGCAGAGAAGATGTTCCATCTTCAGGAGTCTAATGAACAGTTGCATAAGAGCAGAGGAGGTTCAGGGAGTCCAGGAGGGGGCAGAGGTCATTCAGGGGGCCAAACATGTCAAACTGCCTCAAAGGTTCATTATTATTATTATTATTATTATTATTATTATTATTATTATTATTATTATTATTATTATTATTATTATTAACAGCCTTAGTCTGATGTTTTCTCTTTATTTCTGAATTTTGGGGTCGATTTGTCTGATTTTAAGCAATTTTTCTTTGATATGTGGATATATTGGGATTTTCTCTTTGTCACTTTTTGTTCTTATTCTCCTTTCACCATAAACTTGGCTGTTTCTCCTCGCATCAGGACCAGATTGTTGTTATAATTCCTGGTTCTGTTTCAGTCGGTTTGAAATAATTTTGAATCGCCTGATTATTTTTCAGCTTTTTTGTTTATTTCCCGTTGATGTGGCTGCCCACCCAGGACGCCCTTCTAGCGAGGGGCGGCTTGTGTTTCCATTGTTTTTAAAGTTGCAGTCAACACATTTAACATCTTTTTCTTAAAACTTATAAATGAATCTCTGCAGCCTGCAAAATGCAATTACTCAACAAGACATTTGAAGGTCTATTCATGTTATTTCTAAGTATTTTATTGTGAAAGGCGGTTGTGTGTTGGTTTGACACTTGTGTAGCTGCTTCCTGTCACCTCAGCCTGTGGTTAGCACTGATAGTGATGTTATTGTTTGTTTCTGTGGTTTGTCGTTGGGTTTGTTTTGGAGTTTTTCTCTCTTTCTGCAGACACCTACTTGAGTTCTTTTTACTTTCTTATCTCTTTCCTTCCCTTTAAACCTTTTCCCATCTTTCTCCCTTTGTTTTCTGTGTCCTTTACATTGGAAATAAAGTCAAAGAAATTTCTAAAAATGTTTATCGAGCAGGGCGTCATGATGAAAGCTGTAATGTTCGTCTTGTGAAGTAAATCTGATGGGCCTCACCTTGAGACCCAGACAGATTGGACGTTTAAAAATTAACAGTCCGTATGAGGTAGCAGTGTGTTTCATTTATCGTCGTTACTCGTTCATTCGGCTTCAGAGTCGGAGAAGTCAACTGTACCTTTCAAAATGGCCGCTGCTTGCATCATCATCATCAGGAAGCTGTGGCAGAAACCAATTAAATTTATAAACTTGTAAGAATGTGTCTAAAATCAAAGCTGCATATCAGAAGTGATGTTTGGTTCCGGAAAGAAAAGTTTAAAACGACGTGACGTCGTTGCGTTCAAATCCCGACCTCTCCACCTACGTTAACCGAACTGCTCTGCATACAAAAGCACACCGCACTTTTCAGATTTACCCTCCACTTCAGTTATGCTTTACTTTGCTGATTAGTTACATAGAATCCTAAAAAAACAGATTAAATTTGCTGTTTTTATGAAAAAGTGAAATTTAAGTATTTTTTGCTCTTTTTTTCCTTATTTTTTCTTTTTCTGCAGAGAATTTTATCATTCTGATTTCATTCTAATTTCCATCCTGGCTCTGTTTGTGTGGATGAAGCGGCGCAGAGGGGGAACCTTTACGCCAACATTTCAGTGTTTTTGTTCTCCATCTTCTGTTCTTGTTGTTCTGAGGAGAAGGCGGTGGGCGGCGGATGGTGGGGTAAAAATAAAGAGCAACCAGAATGAGTCACGGCTCCCTGAATCCCAGTCTGGATAAAAATACTTCCTCAGACACGCGTGCAAACATACGCTGCTCCACGCGCGCCACACGTTACATAAGCTGCAGCGTAGGAGGCGGGATGCGAGGCGTGCATAATTCATCGACGCGGGGAAGCTCCCCAACACGGAGAGGCTCGGTTCTGCTTGGACGGACCGGGGAGAGCGAATCCGGATCAGAACCAGATCAAAACCGCCCAGGAAGCAGGGAAAACCTTCATTCATCGAAAACAACGTTAGCAGAAGGAGTTGTAAAGTAGGGCTGCGACATTTAATCGATTAATCGATTATTCTAACGATTAATCATTCTACAGAATTTTAAACCATTTTTTTTTACAATGCTACAAAGATTAAAAGATGCAAATAATTCAGTTTTATTAAATCTGAACCTGTTGAAGATAAAGTGACGTCACTTCAGGAGTTTTGGCTGAAATATGTTTACAGATAAATGTGTTTCAGCTGAAATGAAAAATGTTTCTTTTTGTACAATTTTAGCTCAATTACTGCTCTCAATATTTTAGTGTTTTTTTTCAGTAAATGACCTTTTCTGAGTCTGAATACTGATTAATGATTAATCAATTACTAAATTATTTGATGATTATTTCAATAATATGATTAATCGTTTCATCCCTGCTGTGAATTAAAGCAGGAGGAAAAATCTCCATCAGCTGCTGAGAGAATAAAATGTCCTGGAGCAGTGAAACGGGATCAGTTTCAAACGGATCCTTTCCTGGAAAACCTGCAGACGAGCCGAACTTCTGTTTGATCCCACCGGTCCTGTTCAGATCCAGTTCGGTTCAGATCCGGTTCTGGAAAAACTCAGTGTGGATGTTGGCCAGCGAGTTTCCAGGGAAAACCTGCAGACTTTCATGGTGTCAACGTTTCCAGTGACGCAATCCGGAGGGAAAAGTCCCGACTGAGGGGAACGCCGGCTGAAGCTAACGAGGGAAACTTTAAGATCAGAGAGGAGAAAATATAATAAAGTAAAAGTATAAATAATTTTAACATGGGAATAATCAGGAGAAAACTAAAAAATCCACCTTATAAAACTATTTACTGAAACCATCTGTCTGTGCAGGTTTCCCATTGAATTCTTCCAAACCTTCATAAATTTATAATTTTATTCAAAATTGCTATAAAATTAACAGATGAATTTATCTGAACTGGAATTTAAGATTGGAAAAGTTTAAATTTTTGAAAAGAAGAGACAGGAACCCTGGAAGCTTTGTTAATGGGATTTGACCTTTGACCTTACCTGACGTGAGCCAGAATGCTTCTTGTGTTGACTCGCTCTGTGTGTGTGTGTGTGTGTGTGTGTGTGTGTGTGTGTGTGTGTGTGTGTGTGTGTACTGGTTTATCTATCCTAATTAGGACGGGTTCTGTCAGATTTGCTGATCTGTGCGTTATGGGGACCGGAGCCCGGCAGTGACCCAGATTATTAATGGTTTTGGAAAATGTCTGTTTGGCATAAATTCAGTTCCTAAAATGAATGTTCGTCAGTATAACATCACTCTGACGTCATACTTGGTTTTCACTGAAGGCCATAACTCAGATTGTTTGCATGTGAACAGTGTAGTGAACATTTAATGTGTTTACATAACTAGGGAAAATAATTAAGATATTTTCCCTCTGTTCTCGGACCGGTTCTGTCAACATCCGGGATCGGGATCAGGCCTTCGTTCGGAGAACGTTCCATCCAGCCCCAACTTTGCTTGTTTAAACGTGAGTGAGACTGAAAGGTGCGGTGGTGGGAGGTGTCTTGGTGTTCCCATGGCAACAGCCTCAGTTATGCAACAGCCAGCGGTGCGACATAAACAAATCATCCACCTTTCATCAGATGAGTGATTGATTCAGGAAAACTGAGTTTGATCTGGATTTATCTGCAGCCTGCGGTCTTCAGGGTCAGTGGAGGTTCTGCAAACAGAACAACATGAATGAAAACATAAATGCTGGAGCAGCGCCGGTCTTTACCAGACTCCCCGCTGCAAGCCAACAGGAACAGGACACTCTCCCCGGTGAATGCTGCCTTTCTCTGGATCTGGGTCTGTCCTGAGCAGACAGCGCCAGGAAACCCTGCGGACTCGAAGCAGGACAGAGGATCCAATTGTTCCGGTTCGGCTCTGATGGGCAGCTGCGCTGGTAACCCGTGGTACCACGGACCGAGCCCCCATACGGTCCATTCAGGAAGTCCGCTTTGATTCACGTCTGTAAAGTTACAGTCAGAAATTAATTGGATTATTTAAACTGAGACAAACATGGTGGTTAATTTTTATGTCAAACTTTTACTGAGCCAGACTAAATATTTACTAACTAAATATTTAGTTAGGAAGCTAAACATTTAGTTTACCATCTAATTATTTGGCTCTCAGATAGCTAAATATTTACCAAGCTAACCAAAAGCTCTGAGTTAACAAAATATTTAGTTTACAAGAGCAGAGATAGCTAAATATTTAATTAGGAAGCTAAATATTTTGTTTACTAATGAAATATTTAGCTCTCAGATAGCTATATTTACTAAACTAGTTCACCAACTAAATGCTCAGAGCTATATTTAGTTAGCTCTGAGATAACTAAATATTTCGCTATCCAGTTTACCAAGCTACTTTACCAGCTAGCTTAATATCTAGTCCACCAACTAAATGCTCAGCGTTAACTAAATATTTAGCTACTTCAGAGCTAATGATTTAGTAAATATTCAAATTTACTTGCATAAAAGTGGAAAATATTAATGATAGAGTTGACATGAAGAGATTTGAAAGCAGAAGTTTATAAGAAGTTCCCAAGATGCACCTTTTGTTTTCATAAAAATACTTAACTGAGTTGAATAGCTTCAAGCTAAATATTTAGTTGGTTTACTTAATACTTAGCTTGCAAGATTTTTGAAAGAATTTAATGAGGAAAAACTATTGCAAAAATCCTTGAGATTATTCTTAAAGAAGCACCACAAAATCTAAAACATTGTGACATCTTGGAGTGGCAGCCAGAATTAATTCAAACAGTACTTCTTGGGCCCCATAAGGACTAGTCGGGCCCCACAACGTAGTGTGTGTGAGGAAAATGGTCCGTACAATACATCAAATAGGCCACACACACACACACACACACACACACACCCCTTCCTGCATATTCCACCCTGAGCTGTAAAAACTATAAATCTGCTTTTATAAATGCAGCTGCTGCTAATTGTCACACAGGGGAGCTCTGTCCTCCACCTCCCTGCCGCACCAATCAGATCTCTGCCACGGCTGCTTCCTGCTCAGTAAAAAGTTTCGATATTCAAATGTAGCATTTAAAGTTGCTGCAGTTGGCAGAGGTGAGTCATAGAGTCCCACTCTGCTGTCTGCAGGAAGCCGTGGAAGTGGGCGGCTGTCACACGCCGACTTCTTAACGGGGACATTTTCCTTCGCTGCAGCAAACTTTCTCCAGGTGACGCCGGCTTTTTCTCACATGCTTTATGCACTGCTGCAGCAGCCAAAAAAACCATAACACAGATCAGGGTTTAAAATGTAGCTTAACTTCTCCATCATCAATACTTCCCAATGTTCTGCAAAACACGGATTTTCTCTGGTGAAAATAGCATTTTGTTAAAAACTCCCTCAGAAGCATCATTTACAGATTTATGTTAGTAGCTAAATATTGTTTACAGTTTATTACATGACATTAAAATGAAAAACCTGGAGATGTGACAGAAAGTAGTGCCACTTTCCACCAGCTTAAAAAGAAACTTCCCCACAGCATGAAGCTGCCACCACCATGCTTCACCGTGGTGAGGCTCCGTTCAATTTCACTTAATTACACAGATTTTAACGTGCTTAAATTTTAAATTTTTAAATTTACGCACAAAACGTAGAGGCGGAACTTTTGTATTTGTTTCTGGTACGCCATTAAATTTGATGTACAAGCACCGTCCGCTAACAGCAGCAATGAAGTGGTTCATTTCTACTTCTAACTGATCTGATTGGACCCTGGAAAAGACCCAATCAGATCACAACTTTGTGTTTAGTTGTGGTAAAAAGAGTTAGCCTATCAGCAAAGCTGCAATAGTGCTAACATGTTGCTAATGCTAATGTTAGCGTTCAATTCTAAAGAAGCTCCATGAATAGCACTTTAAGGTTTCTCCAAACTGATGGTTGAACCTGAAGAACAGATTAAAACATAATGTTTTTATTTTACATGCATGTATGAGTGAAGGTAGGAGTGAACGAAGGTAAGTGGAGCGCAGCATAAAGGGGTCTGAATACAAAGCACACCGCACTTTTCAGATGTACCAGTTTCCTTTCCCTTCAGTTTTGCTCTACTTTGCATTGATAAAATCCCAGAAGAAGAGTTTAAATTTGTTATTTTAGGAAAAGAAACACAAAAGTTAAGTATTTTTGCAAATAAAGAATATCTTATTTTTTGCATATTATGTGCTGTTAATAAAGCATATTTTAACCATAAGTAACGACCCAAGCAGACATTAAGCATACGGAGACCACAATTCTGTATTAAAATGATTTCTCATTGGTCTGATGTAATATTTTAATCTTATTTTAATATTTTAAATAACCTTGATGATGTTTTTCAGAGGGAGTTCTGCAGAATTCAGCATAAGATCTAGACCTTTTAGCCTGGGCTAGTAGCTTTTATTTTGAAGGAAGTGGGTTTTCCAGATAATTTTGTCCTGCTTTTTGGAGCAGGTTATGTAATGTGAATGTGAGCGTGTTGTTTCATGACTTTATCTTACAGCGATCAGAAGAAGACAGTTTCGCAGCATGCAGGCTGGTTTCTCCTCCTATCAGAGCTGAAACAGTTTATTATGATGAGGCTGCAGTGGAAAGTGTGAGGCGCAGCAGTGAGCGTGTGAACTCAAAGGTCAACGCAAACACGACTGACGACTGGGAGGAGTCTGACCTCTGATGTACAAATTAGATTTAACCCCTGAAACTGGGTTAGCTGGATTTTACCCTGAAAATGACACAAAATATGTCATAAAACAGGATATCTGTATGTAATTATTTGTTGCAGCTTCATCCCATTGGAAAACAACTGCTGGGGTCAAAGGGTGAAAGGGCGTGGTCATAGAACAGTGTAATTATATTCCAGGTAGCTAAAAAAATTGTCTTAAGGTTTTCAGTTAAAACTGAGAAAAATAATTTTTGCTCTCAAGAGAAATGCAATTTAATTTGCAAAAGTTGAATCTGATATATTTCCTATATAAAAATACATTTAGGATCTATAATTGGAATTATGACCAGTCAGAATAAAAGTGAGATATCTCAAATTCATTTTGACTAGACCTTATTGTTGATATCTGAAATGTGTTTCACATAGTAATTTATTGTAGATATGTTGAATTCAAGCCTCTGTACATTTTAATGGTAAATGTGACATAATTTAGTCAGAATGTAATTAGATATCTGAAATAGCTGTTTTATTTAGTGAAATTATAATATGTTTGTAACAAACCAATTTCTGATACGTCTGTGTTGAGACAAATTGTATGTTAAACGGCCTGCCATACCCCCTTAAAGTGGACCCGACAGATTCAGAACCCGCAGTGACGTTAACGTCGCACAGGTGTGATGGCGGAAAACGAGCCGATGATACGAAGTAAGTAGATAAAATATGTTTAGATTAACAGTTTCCCCCAGACAGTTGCCTAATGACCAAGCTATGCACACACAGAGAGAGAGAGAGTGTTTTAGCTTGTCTGCTACTTTTATTGAAACAAACTCTGAAAATATGAGGAATTATTAAATAGGATCAAGCATCACACCATTTAGATTGTTCTACATGTTGCACTTCCAAATATATTTAACAAATATACTTTATTCAAATATTTATCTCTTTATTATTAGTTGAATGAAAATGTAGAAAAAATTCTTCCCAGATTAAAGGTAATATTCTGAGTTGAAAAAACACAATGTAGATCCTCACTGAGTGAAACCTGAGCCTGATGCTCTCATCATCTCCGACTTAATTCTTATCCACTAAAACTCCTACAAGCTGTAAAGTTCATACCCAATACTTAAACACAGTGGTGGCAGAGTGATGCTGTGTTGTGGTATCATAATCATCATAATATCAGTTTGTGCAATAATCATCTTTTAAATGGCTGCTTGGAGCAATAATTGTTTTCTGATGTATTCCAAGTGTTATGAACTAAAGACATTACCCTGAATCCCAATGATGGGTTAAATTATCTTTTCTGTTCAGAGCTTATGAGTCCTCAGCTGCAAGCTTTCTGATTCGGCTTTCTAAAGTCTGTTACATAATATTGTGTTTTTCTTAATACTATCCATTTGGAAATTACTTAATTTGTCTCAATCCACTCCAAGTAAATTTTTCTGTCCCTTATTTTTTCTCCTTCCTGCTTCGTTTTCTATTTAACATCAGAGATGGGAAATTAAAATGCCGACGCATAAATATGAAAACTAGTGGTGGAACTCAATTTTTTTTAATGCAGTTACTTTGAGGGCCTCTGATTAATTAACTACATATGACTGAAACACGTCAACAACATAAGAAACATTTTCTATTCAAAACCCCTTTTTGCTTTTAAATTACTGAATAGACATGCGAGATCAACGATATTTATAGTTTTTAAACATATTCAGGTTCTTAAGCCATCAGCTTAGAAAACATTACATGTAGGTAAATGTGGAGGAAATAATATGATGGAGAAATATTGGAGAGGTAAAAAAAAAATCTAAAACGGCTAATGAAGTAAATAGATCAACATCAGTTGTGTAAATAATTATATTAAAGAAGTCACTTTACAAAAAACTAAAACAAGGAAAATTAATAAAATATAAAATAATCAATAATACATCATTTAAAATTTTATTGAATAATCACATTAACACAAAAATACATTTTAAGTGCTAGATCTAAATGTTAATATCAACCCGTGTAACATATTTTTTGTTTTAGATAAAAATAAAACCAGTTTTGTTGTTTTTGTTTAATTTGTGAGTTCAGTTAACATAGTCATCTAGTTCTGTTTATTCTTGGTTTTTGCATGTTTGGTCCTCCATACTTCGGATCTGCTCTGTTGGTTTAACAAACTGGATGTTTGTGAAAGTAAATTCATCGCAGTGTTCCTTGGAACCGCAGGGAAGGGGTTTTCCTGGATGTTTTGGACCGGGAGAGGCCTGCGTTCTCCGGGCGCCGCCCCGGAACCCGTCCCGGCTGTTCGGTCCCTGCTGCGGGGCCGTGTGCAGGGGAAGCCCGGTCGGTGGCGGCGGAGGGCTACAACGTGACCTGACAACAAGGAACCTCCGGGAAAACCGTCAGTCCTGAACTCTGAGCTGAGCCGAGGCCGGCGGGGCCCAGCAGGGGGGTTCCCGCCGGGCGCCCGGGCCCTGAAAACGGGGAGATACTGCCGGATAGACGGCCATCTGGAGCCCCCTCGCGGCGCAGAGCGCCCCCTCGCGTCTGGGAGGCGGAGACGGGACCCCCCTGACGTCAGAGGGCCTGTCTGAAAGTGAGGTAGAAGGTGAAGCAGAACCAGAACTGACCCCCGCCCCCCGCTCCGCGGTACTGGAAGCCGCCGAACCTCCAGCGCGACCCGGCCCGGTGAGTACGACCCGGCCGCCGCTCCGCCCGCCGTTCCCCGGGCCGCCGCGGCGGGTCGAGCCGCCGCTGCGGCCGCGCAGGGAACGGGTCATCCGGTGTGAAGTTCCAGGGCCGCCGAGGAGCCTGCGCGCTGCCCGGGCCGTGTTTGCGTGGTTCTGCGTGGTGTCCGCGGACTCCCACGGAGTTGTCCGCGTTCATGAGACGCGGTGCTTGTGCGCGTGCGCGCCGCAGGCTTGCAGAAGCAGGAAGGCGTCCCGGCTGTTGCAGAGGGGTTTTCCCTGACTCCGCCCCTCGCTGCCAGGGCGTTCACGTGTTGCCACAGAATCCACGCTGTCCACGCGCACGCGCCCTGTCGTGTTTTCGTGTCAGGACCGCGCCTCCGCTCTTGCCCCCCTCTCCGCTTTTCCGCTGAGCCTCCCCAGGTGTGCGTCACCTGTTAGGACGCGGCGTTCCCTGCGAATGCGCAGACGGGCAGTGCGCATGTCCGTCCAGCCCGGACCGCGCTGGCTGCAGGTGAGCGTCCAGGCGTGTTTGTGTCATGCGTGTTTTTTTGTTGCTGGTGGAGCCGCAGGACGGTGATGTCATAGCGGAGTGGAGACCAACCATCAGCCGGTAGTAAGAGTTATGCAACATGGAGACAAAGCGGCTTCTGCTGCGGCGGATCGGATGGTTCTGATCCAGGTTCTGATCGGTTCGGAACGGAGCCGCGTTTATCTGCAGCATCTCCATCAGATTATCCTCCTGTTGCTCCTCAGGTTGCTGCAACGTTAAACTCTGTGAGTTTTATGGATGTGTTTTTCTGCTAACTGTGTGTGTGTGTGTGTGTGTGTGTGTGTGTGTGTGTGTGTGTGTGTTCCTGCAGATGCACCCAGAAGTCCCGGTGAGGTGAGGAGGATAAAGAGAAGATGCAGCAGTGAGTGGAGGCTAAAGATGCCACGCACCAAGCAGAACAACCCCAGGAACCTGAAAGGTGAGCGCCTACTTCCTGCAGGTGGATTCCTACAGGTCCTTGATTTTCTGCAGCTTTTCTCATCAGCTTCTCTGCTCAGATCCATTTCATTTCTTTGTGTTTTTCTGCGTTTGGCCTCCAGTAGTTGATCAACAGAACATCTGAATTATGTGTTTTAGTTGCCGTTGTGTTGGAAATTCCTTTTTAGGAAGTTTTCGGTGGAAAACTTTAGCTCTGAGCCTCTGGGTTTCTCGGTTTCTTCCAGCTCTCCACTCCATTAATCCCACAAAATGTTCAGCGGTAACAAAGTCACAGCTAATTGGTCAGTAATTGAAACCAGAAATTTCCCCCTCTGTTGTTTTTCACCTGTTAGCTGTTGACTGAATCCTGAAAAAAATCCTTTTTTCCTGTTTTGCTGTTCATTGAATGCACCAAAGCAGACTTTATGGCCTCTAAATGGAGCAGAAAACAGCTTGGTGTTTAAGGAGGAACTAAACACCAAATCAACTTTTTATTGCAGATAAACAGTCTAAACTGGCCCTTATTGCTGCCTTCTTTGGGTTTCTGTGCAAATTGTCTTCAATTTTGTGTGAATGTGTGATTTTTTTTTTTATATTTTTGCCTGAATCTGTCTCAGTGCTGCCCTCTTTGGGTTGAACAGTGGTCCTGCAGGTGAATTTTCCTATTGGTCAACGGTACAGACATTAGTTCTGGTTTAAAATCAGACAGACACCCCCCGGTGGCGAGTCAGGAGTTGGCATAGCGAGCGTTGCTCATTGGCGTTTCTCTGAGTGGAGTGGGACTCCGCTCCGACTGCAGGTGCTCAGGAAATTATCTTGGCAGATTTGTTGCTAGTCGCTTTTTGGGAAGAAAAAAAGTTGCTTTAGTCTGAAAGGATGATTAAAGTGACAGTTGTCAAGTTGACCACATCCCAGGTTCATTCTTCTGCTCATCCTCACATTTGGCCACGCCCATTCCTGCCTCTTGGCTCCGCCCACTTCGGTGTCATTTTTCAGATTTGTCATAGCGAGTTTCTGCTTTGCTTTCACTTTAAGTAGCTGATTTGAGAAAAATAAGGATCAATTCACAACAGACCCATTTGTTCCGCTTTAACCCAACTCCAGTCTGCTTGTCTAGTCAAAGTCTGGTTTGGTTGGTGAAATGTGAATACTAATTGACCTCTGACCTCTGGTCCTTCAAACCTCAGTCTGGGTTCGGTTGAAGTGAACTCTGGTTCGGTTTGTGAACGCCAAGCGGACCAAAGACCGGTCCAAAAGCAGGAAGTGGACTACAGCGAAGGGCATTCTGGGTAAATACAGCCAAAGCTAACATGTTAGCCCAGCGCTAGCAGCAGAAATGTCTCCTGGTCTTTAGCCAAAGACTAAAGAGAAATCCAGTTGGTTGATCAGAGCTCTGAGACGTTCAGGTTTTTCCCTGAAAGTCTCTTCTTTCGGGCTCTGTGAGGTCATGGTGATCATCTCAGTGTTTATAAATAAATAGTGGACAATCTGCGTCGTCTCCAGCCTGTGTGTTTGTGAGGAAGCAGCAGATTGGACTCGGAGCGGCGCGTCCTGTGGTGTGAACGACGACCGGCCCGACGGATTTCCTGTCGAGCCGCCAGCAGACGGCAGCGCCGCACAGATGGTGAATGTGAGGCGCCGCACGGCGGGTGTGATCGGCAGAACGCAGCGCCGCACAAACACTGCAGCACAAACAGAACCCGGCCCAAACAGAACCCCATCAGTAAAATCTGATCAGCATGAGGCTCGTCCATCTGGAAGCAAAGTTTATGTCAGGAGTAGAGCTGGAACAATTAATCACGATTAATCGATTACTGAAACAATTTAGTAATTGATTAATCATTAGTTATTAGATCTGACCATTCGATTTAGGGGTGAAACGATTAAACAGATGAATTCTGATTAATCGATTGTTGAAATAATCGTAAACTAATTCAGTAATCAATTAATCATTTAAGAACAACATGGAGCAGTAATGATTTTTTTGGCTCTAGTGGCCTTTATTCAATAGTTAATTGACAGGAGATTGGGTCATGAGAGAAGGGGAAGACATGCAGCAAAGGCTGGGAATCGAACCTGCGACAGCTGCGTTGAGGACTAAGGCCTCCATATGTGGGTTGTGCTTAACCCCTGCACCACCACAGCACAACCCATGGAGCAGTAATTAAGTCAAATGTGTACAAAAATATAAACATTTGAATTTTAGATGTGTCTGTAAATAGTCCTGACCCAATAATCAATAAATCAATTATAAATCGCATAATAAATTAAAACGAGTTTAATAACTTCCATTTGCATTATTTATCGTTTTTCTCTTTCTAGCAGAAACTGGATGATAAAAGTCTGAAGCTTCGACCTCAGCTGAACCTTTGGTTCACAGATCATTTTATCTGTTGTTTATTTTGGATATTTAAAATGTTTTCCTGTTCTGGTGGTAATTGTTCATTAGAATCTAAAGTTTATTGATCTTTATTAGTGTTGTTGTTTATCCCTTTTCTCGGCCAGCTGACTTTGTTGGGCATCAGACCAGCAGCAGGTCCAGGTGTTTGTAGGATCAGCCAATCGGGTTAGCCGCTCCGTCTCCGTCTCCGGTCGGTGTTTTAATCTGGCTCCCAGTCAGTAAACGGCAGCAGAGGAATCGTCCCGTCCTCCGAGTTGGAGAACTTCGCCTGCAGACGCGCCTGCAGCTTGTGACGCAGTCTGCGGTCAGAGAAGCAGGAAGTCCTGAGTTTCTGTTTGCGTCGCCGCCAGCTGGTCTCCCAGCAGCGGCTTTCCTCACAAACATTCACTCCTGCGTCAAACCTGCAGCGCTCTGGAGGAACTCCTGCAACTAACGACTTTAATAGCTATCAATTATTCACTCGATTAACTGGTTAAACAAAAATAATTTATTAGCACATTCTGCAGGTTTTTATTTACCACTTAAGCTTATTTTATAGCATATTGGAAATGCATAAAAATACAGATAATTTAATTCCTTTTTTAAGTAAAATAAACATTTTATTGCCTAAAATACAAAAACAAATTAAAATGATCCCTTTAGTGAATGCATGATAATTTGTAGAGTCATTGATTAGGTTTTGAATAAATTGATAATTAGATAATAAAATGTGCTTAGTAGATTTATTTATAGATGTTGAAGCAGGTGAAGCTAAAACTGCTACTGGAGGTAAAACAGGGAAATGTTTTATTTTAAATGACAATGTTTATATTTTTGTACAGTTTTGGCTTAATTGTTGAAATGCATAAATACAGATAATCAAATCCTTATTTTAAATAAAAAAATAAACATTTTATGCAATAAAATAAAAAAACATATAATTCCTTTAGTGATTCGTTGCCTAATGTTTGATGTAATTTTTAACCGATTAATAGCAAAATGTGCTTGATAGATTTATTTTACAGAATTTGAACCAGACGAAGTTAAAACTGAGCCGACAAGAACAGATTCACAAAGTTTTTAATCCTAAATGTAAAATGTTTAGTTTTTTTGTAGTTTTGACTAAATTACTGCTTTTAGTTTGTTCTTTCAGAAAATGTTTTTTTTTAGTCAGTACAATCCGGTTAACGATTAATCAATTACTAAATTAGTTGACTATTATTTCAACAACCGATTAATCACAATTAATCGATTCAGCCCTAAATCAAATACAGTCAGATTTAGTGATTATTGATAAGACATTTTAAGTTTATTAACATCATATCGCAGCTGGAGGATCGTCTCGACAGCTGGGCCCGTCAGACGGTGCTTCCCCATAAACTCCTGTTTTAAACTGGGAGCTTTAATGGTTCCAGTATCATTAAAACTATTCATAAACTTAAAGGCTTTGAAGATGCCAAATAAACTTAAAACACAGAGCAGAACCTAAATAACTAATAAATATCAACAGACCAGAACGCGTCATCAGCAACAGATAAATACTCATCAAAGTTTAGGGAAACTGAAAGCTTTATTTTATAAAAAATGTACATAAATGACAACAGAAACAAAGTGCAGTGCATCCAGGAAGTTCTCACAGCACTTCTGTTTTTCCATATTTTGTTACGTCCAGGCCTGAAATGATTAACTGGATTAATCGATCTTTCAAATAATCAACTAGTTTGGTATTTATTTAATCGTTGACTGGAGCACACAGACTCCAAAAAGTCAATTTGCTGATAAAGCCAAAACTGTACAAAATATATACATTTTTAATTTAAAATGAAAAAAAACAACAACAACAAACAACTAAACCTTTTTGTTGGTAAATTAGTTTTCACAAAACTCAAGTCCAGTTATTTTCTGTTGTTAGTTTAAGCTGAAAGGTTTGAGCTTTTCCTGTCAGGATTATCTGCTGATTCAATCTTTGCTGCAAATGATTCGTAAAATGTTTATTCTCTCATTTAAAAAGGAATTAAGAAGTTTACTCACATATTTTTAATATTTTATAAAAATTGTTAAATGAAAAATCTGCAGAATCTGATCGTTTTCTATCTGATTAATCGTCAGAATTATTGATTATTGATAACTGAA